TTTAGGGTTAGGTTTAGGGTTAGGTTTAGTGGGGATAGGTTTAGGTTTAGGGGTTAATTTTAGCTTTACCATTCACAGCGTGCTTTTTTCGTCGTGCTGTGATGACGTCAGGTACGCGGTTTCGTCGAGCGCGCTTTAGTCGAACGCGGTTTTGTGGTGGAACCCTTTACAATTGCGTTACTTGGTGACGAAAATTCCAGTCCCAATTGCTGTCACAACCTGAGGACTACCAGTAAAGAACAGAACAATCAACAAACTGTTTAAAAGTAAAAGGAAGACCAGATATGAAAATACAGGCTGAAAGAATAAAATAATAATATTACTTTATTGTTAACCAATGTAAACTGTCTATAAATTAGGAAGCAAGCTGTCATTTGAATTTAGTACTTGTAACGTAAAACTAGGATCGTAAGAGAAATGGGCAAAAAGTGAGAACTCTCTAGAAGTATGTACTTATTCAGTTATTTGAGGGTTAACCAGTTTTGCTATATTAAGGTATGTGAGACTTTTAAAGGATTGGTTTTTATCTTCCTGTCAGCATAACCAAATTTGGCAAACTCCAGGAAGGTAGAATCCATTTGATCAGAAAGAAGGGTCTGGATATAGAAGGTGTCAGAATGAGTTGGATTTTTTATGCCTGATTAGTCTAATATTCCTATAAAAAACATCAGTATAATACAGTATAATATATCTGCCTTCCAGAGTAGCTGCTTAGCGCATTAAATCAGGAGAGAGAGAATCGAAGTTTATTTCAGCTTGGATACTGTGATGTCATTTAAATATCTTGTTGGTCTGAGAATATAAGGAAAACATCCTGGGCCGCAAAGCCTGGTCTTGTTGCTTTCCATATCCAGAAATGTATATTGTGTGAGAATTCCCTTGGCTTGTTCATAATACAGGGGCAGGAGAGTCTCTTGGAAAAAGGCATAAATGTACCATTTATCTAGGAGATATCTTATCTGCTAGTAATAAGGAGCTTAGTCCTATGGATAAAAATGTCAGTTAACACATGAAGATGATTAGCCAGATACTCAACTCCATCTTAATTGAACCCGTGTCAGAATGGAGAGCAACATTAGAGATGCACCGTGGTACCTGGAGGGTTTTTCCTTAATACTTTGCATTACTATCTTCAGTAATTGTCACAAGGAGCAAACACGTGTTGGGCACGTGCTTTAGCTATAAATGCCTTTAGGAGAGCTGGAATAAATAAGGTATCACTTTATTCAAACCTGCGTCTAGAAGTCTTGGCAAAATGCTCCTACTGACTCCCTGCAATGGATCAGCAGTGCTATCCAACAATGCCATCTCTCAATCGCTAGGACTAAATTCTGTTTTATATGCACACACAGCAAAATAAAAACTGTGACTGACAGGCAGCTTGGGTACAATCAGACATCTGTTGGTTTAAATGTTGACACGTAGCACAGGGAGGTGTGTTGCACCAGAGGATCAGAATAGGTAGCCACCTCCCAACTGCTAGTGCATTTGTGTCTGTGATTCCACAGACTTGCATCGAATCAACGTTATAAATTACAGGTCGTTCTCAGCCCCATATCCAGTAATATTGACAGCCTTTCCATGACATCAATAGTCAAATCAGAAACAGCGCAAATAGATAGCGGTGATCCATTTGTAAATCTGGGTTCATACCGCCTTTCCAGCATCAAAGCATTGGATTTTGGATGATCCCATGCCGAGTAAAACTATAACTCCTAGCAAGTTCCAAATTTGCAAAATGTATTCACAAATAAGAGTATTATTCATAAATCATATTGATCATGCTAAATACCATGTTAACAAGGCAGAAACCTTACAAGGGAGCTTAAGTGAGAATATTGAGACAATATTTTAGAAATATGCCTTAAATGTTCCCTATAGCAAAAAATCTACACTTAAGTTCTTCACATTTATGAGTCACGAGCACCATTGATTATTATACTAAGACAAAAATCGTGGTTTACAATTTTGTGATAATATGGTTACTTTCTACATCCCAATTTTTTTAAAGCAAATAACATGTAATAACTTTTCCTTAAAATAAAAAAAACAATATAACAGTTTCTGCATATAAATTACGATGGGCTTTTATACAAAACTATGCAATATTTTATGCTTTTGAGTGACATCTAAATAGTATGAATTTCTTTTCTATCTGCATTCTGTTAACCTCTTGTTTAGAAACAATACTATTTCACTACAACTGATATTTGTATAATTATTTCTATTTACTTGCATGATACTTTTTTATACTTTAGGCGCATCTTGGTTTTTCTATTTTTTAAAATCAGTACATGTTCACATTAAAGCAAAAATGGAAATTAAATGACTATTGTTTGTTGTCTTGATGGTGGAATAAGATAGTATTGTTTAAATAAATAAGTAAACCAATATGTATTTCTTTATGGCTGTTAGTTTGTTATGAAATGATACGTTTCTTAGCACATACTCTCAAACCAGCATTGGGTTTAATTTTCTTTTGGTACACATTCAATGTTTGGGGGGGGGGGGGACTTCAGTGTTTCATTTTTGCTATAAACTTTCCATCTGGATCTTCCTTTGGATTGCTGGCTGCAAAATCTTCTTAATGGAAGGAATTTCACAAATTCTTGCTCTAAGGCCTAAAATAGGGTGAATATTTTGGTTCCACCACAAAACCGCGGTAGACTAAAGTGCGCTCGACGAAAGCTCGACGAAACCTGACGTCATCACAGCGCGACGAAAACATCACGCTGTGAGCAGTAAAGTTAAAATTAACGCGAAAACCTTA